ATGCCAAAGAAACATAAGAAATTTTGATTTGTAAGAAATTTTCACAGATTTTTTTAGCTAGCTTTCGGCTCCCCACGATTTTCTGGCAGCAAACTCAAAATCACAAAATTTGAATCGCCACATTTGAAAGCTTTGTTTTTGGTGCCTAATTCATAAAATGTTACGCTAGAACATCTCTTATGGAGCTCAAGCTTTTTACCATCCTTTTAGCCTTTTATTAGCTTTTACTATACTATGGATTTAATTTAGTATTTGCAAAGTGATGGAATTTTTTGAATACGCAAGAGAACTTTCGCGTTGACCTAATTGTTTCTTCGCAAGAGCTGTAGAGCTGAGAGGGGCTGTGAAGTCCTCCTGATAGATTTATCGTAAACGGACAACACACACCGAGAGTGAGAGAGAGTGATTTGCGTCTGCTGATGCAGCACGTTTTGCGATCGCAACCACTTTGTCGTTTGTCAACGTCGACGACGCGGTCATTATGGTCGATGCAAGTTTTTCGTTGCCCCCTTATTCATTGATTTGTTACATTTATTCGTACGTCGGTCGGTGTGTGTGTTGTGTGTGCGCGTCTTCCTTCTCAATTCGCTACCCCCCCCCCCCTCGTTCCGCCTTTTCTCTCCCCCTGAAATTCTATCGCTCCTTTAGAGACAACGACGACGACGACGACGACGACGATCGTCGGGGCTCTGATGATCACGTGATCGATGCGATTTATCGCCCGCTCTCATCGCAATGAATCGCTGAAATGTCGCTCGTCCCGTTCTATCACTAAATTTCCTTAATATCTTTTGCAGACCCACTGCGCTTTTCCGCCGATGTGTTATTCTCGTGCACACGTGAATTCGTAGCCTTCTTCTCTCTATTTCAACTCCGTATTTATCACTCTTGCTCATTTTGGACCAAAATATGACCCTCAGGATAGTCAGCAAGGTTTTCTCGTGTATTCTCTTTTCATAAAACTGGGCACGTGTTGTATATCTAGGAGCTTTCTTTGTTAGACGTTTGTATAAGTTCATATCCTTTAGGCTAAGTAAAGTAATTATTAAGTCGTAAAGAAATGAATGTCGCTTTTTTCGATTTTTTCGTTAAAATTGCTATATTTTCAAAAACTAAGGCATATTCAAGACCAAAAAAATTACGATCAAAATCTCGGAGGTTTGTAGTATACAGCAGCATATACGGGAGGAGTTCAGGGCCACTGGGAGCGGAGTTTGCTATTTTTTTTTCTTTCAATCTTTCTTAATCTCTAAGCATGAAAATATTATACCAAGCGTACCTATGGCTAATTGTATGTGTCAGTTACAAGCAGGAGCAAATGAGAGGATCGTAAAATTTTGTGGAGCAATAGCCTATTTTTAGCATCATAAGTTGCTCTTATGTTTTGGCTCCAAACTTTGGGAAAATCACAATTTCTGGCAATGTTCAAAGGTCAAATTGTAGAGCTTTCTTTGCTCTACTGAATGGTACCCCTCACATATTTTTTGGATCTGTCTTATTGCTTTGCTGTATAAAAGAATGATGTTCTTTTCTTTCCAATTCCAATCCAATATATCAAATCTGTGTGAGAATGCTCTTAGACTTGAGGGAAGCTTTTTTTGTAAACAAAACCCAAGATGAAGTATTAAAATACCAAAATAACATACCTGAATCTCTCGCTATTTCACTGATCGATACATTTTGTACAAGACCAACTCGATACCCATACATGATAAGTACGTACTATCAATCTGAGTAAAGTTTGTTTTTGTTTTGTTAGCGGGCTCTGTTGAGGAAATAATGGTGTACAGAAAATGACTAACTGAATGGAACTTTTATGGCTTCCATTTTCGAAAAGAGTGTTTCAAAAACTTTACAAGCAAAAAAATAAGATTGATTCACATGACAAGATTGTAGTATGGCTTTTTTATAATAAAATTACTTCATTTGACGTCACGCAGTTTTTCAAAAAGACAATAACCTTTTCTTGCAAAATACGTTTTCAAAATTTGAATATCGCTAGTTTTAGGCAGGATATTTTTTATTATATGTACTTTTTTGAACCACCGGAGTACATGCACCACATTTTCCTTCTGATCACACAAGTTCTTCGCCCCTTCCGATATATCTTCTCACTCCTCCCTCCCCCCCCCCCCCCCCCCGCACCCGGCCATAACTTTCGTTTCTGCTTGATTATGCTTTTTCTGGCTGAAAATTTTTGATGACTTTTAAAATAAACTCAAGATTTTCCTCATCCTTTGATTGGAGTTTATCTTCAAATTTATATCTATGTCTAGCACTGATCGTTATTGATGGTGTTTCCCTTCTTTCCTAGATTCTATAGTTTTCAAATGATGTTTTCTGTTAAGCATGGTTCACACCCTCCATTCATGTATTATTCTGAGTCATTCCTTTTCATTCAGACGCGCTAACAATAGAACAATATATAGCAAAAATCAACGGCCCCACGCGATTTTCGGTTTCTCTGAATGCTTTCGGACTAAGTAGGAAAAGGCAAAATGAATGAATAGAAATCAGTTTCAATCGTCTACGAAATTTTATACCATTTTTGACTGCCTTTATAACCGTATTTGACTGACAATTTCCTATGCATTTCTAATTTTTCTCGTGCTTCAGTAGCAAAATACTAATTACTCACGCTTAAACTAGGTAATGGAGAACAAATTATCGGTGAGGAATTGAAGCGAGCAGTCAAAAAAGTATAGGAAGTTGACTCAAAAGCATTACTGGTTTTGCTACTTAAAAAGTTTGTTCAGCTTTGCTCGACAGTCTTTGACGCCAAAAATTGTTAACTAGAAAGGTTTCAATTGGGGATTCTTATCTACTTGTACCAAACATTGATTTGGGCTTGTTTTATCAAAAATGCTAGAGTTTTTTTTCCATAACATTACGGTCTTGTTACACAAGAGATTTTCAGTAAATTCTTCAAAAGGATTTTCTCTCATAATATCACTGCACCTCAACATTCTCTAGTTGTTGCGGCGAAATTGTTCTGTAGCTCATCGTAATCACCGCGTAATGATGGTACTAAATTTATATCAGTTATTTCAAAAATTTTGTTAATTTTTGCAAACTATAGAAACTCCTACAACGAAGATCCAAATGCTACAAACACATTCGATGGCTCTTCTCTTTCCTGATGGTTAAATTCTCGAATCTTTTGTGACGCTTTCAGATGACTGCCAAAAGTTTACACCCCTCATTTTCCGCTCAAGATTGATTGTATTCAAAAACTTCGTTACAGAGTTTCGGCAAGGAGTAAATGCCATGCGTTTATAGCACATCTCATGCCATACTGTAATGCGTTGAGAGTTTTCTGAATCTATTTCCTTGAACATCTTGATCGAACTCATGAAACAAGCAGCTGCAGCAGAAACATGAAGCTTTCGAGGTTTCTACGAATTGAAGTTTGACTGTTATTAAGCATCATTTCTGCAAAATAAGTGAGTTTAATTTGCTCGAATAAATCAGCTTTTTTGAAATTTTTAATACTCCTGTGCGCAACACATGCAAAATCGGGTTTTTCCCAAATAAATAACAATCACAAGGTCCAAATACTTGCCCTATTTGATCCGAAATGGGTGTAATGTAGTCGAAGATTTACTCTACATAATAGCTACGAGCGTTCGAAACTCTTAGAGTAAAACTCTTTAAGAAAATTAGAGATAAATTGGAATTTTGAACTGTTCAGAGAGCCATGGCGATAACATCGTCAGTGCTGCATGAATCAAGGGAAAAAAGTCAGATAGCCATTTACAAGTGTAAACACTTGCACTTTTTTATAAAGGGATACGCCCTTGATCCACCACTGGCCAAAACGATTTTTTGTGCGCACTTCTGAAGCTCAAGATTTTCTTTCTGTAGTATGTATCAAACGAGTTTTGTTTGAGTTAGAGAGGAGTATGAATACTAAGAATATTGGTGCGAGATTTATGTACCATTCTGCTAGTTACTGCACAATTTTGAAACGGGAATTATTCTAAGCATTCCACATACTTGTTTCTCTATAAATCGTAGGTGTGCATAATTTTTAAAAAGAGCTGGTTTCCTCGCTAATGCTCTTATTCCCTTTTCTCTTGGCGTTTATCTCATTTCCAGTATCTAGAATCACGCTATATGTGAAAAAGCTAGCTGGTGTAGCTACATAACTACTGGTGGCTGTTAAAAATAATTATCGTTTTAGCTCGCCGCACCAAACTTGGAAGTTTTCTGTTCGTTTATTCGTTTACCCTTTTTTCTGGATTCTACTTTGGATTTTACTCCGGCATTTTTGGAATTTTTTGAACCTTTATATTATTTTTCTCACCCAGGCGTGCTTACAAAGTCTGTTCGATCGTTTGATACATCCCTGCTCTGACGAGTGAGAAAGCTAGTGATTGAAAGGATTTGTCAAATCCTTTCAGAGCAGGTAGAGCGAGAAATTTTCGCCATGAAGGGGAGGGGGCATTGTTCCAAAAATTTTTCAAAGCTTCCTAGATTTTTGGAAGCGGGGCAACCCAATCAAAAAGGGGGCGTGACGCAGCCACGACTCTGAAATTCACTTCTAAAGCTGATATTAGTTAATTTTTTGAATTTCAAGACCATATTACAGTTTTTTACAAGTAAAAGCAAGCTACTTGCACAATTTCATCATTCATGTAAAACACTTCTAATTTTCGCGAACCTCTCTACTCTCTCCTCTTCCGGTCCGCCACTATTTTCTATGTAGAAAATGATTATCCGTTTCTAAAACACTTGGTTTCAACAAACAGTCAGAAAAATTATGGCGTGTGTTTCTGTATAAACCGAAATTATCCAAGTTTGTTCAATCAACTAATCTTAAACTTTAAATGAGCGGTTCATGACCCGGGTCGTTGTTGAATGAACTGCCAACTACAATATTTGCCGTTTCAAGTAACTTATGAAAGAACCAGCAAGCTTTGCTGTTGTTTGTTTTCGATTGTACTTCATGTCGCAAATCAGTTCTTAAGCAGCCATTTCATTGATACTAATCCTTGCAGGACCATGTTAATATGAACGAAAGCAAAGTTATCGATAATGAAGGAAAAACGGAAACATCGATGGTGCAGAAAATATCGGAAGAGCAAAAGACCGCAATTGCAGAGGATATCTTTGATTTATCCGTAAAGCCGACAACTGAGAAGACCGAAGAGAAGACTACAGAAGTGTGTACAGAAAATGAAACAAGTGTAGAAAACATCGACCAGGATAAAATTGCTTCACAACGGCTAGAGCATCAAGAGGCTAAAAAGAACGATGTGGAGGAGAAATCAAACGTGAAAGAACGTCAAGTTTCGTTTGACCTATCGAAAGATGACGCTTTGGTGGTGGACGTTTCGGAAGATCTACTGGATGCTGAAGTATTTCCGATCACAAAGGAGATGTTGCCTGAGGATTTCCCTTACACAGAGCTAAAACCATTGGAGAGCAAAGAGGTGAGCCGCAGAATTTTGTTTGCATGCAGTAAATATGTTCCATATGATCCTTGTCAAATTTCGCTTCGCAGAAACGCTAAAAAAAACTCGAAATAAGTTTGACTCTTCTCTTTTTTTAGATTTCTTAACAAATATGTCTTAGCTCCTATGAAGAATTTCAAAGGGGGAATTTTTTAGTACTTTTCAATCTTATTTTTGTTAATAAAGAGGCCAACGCCAAAGTGCTTTCAATATCACAAAAGGGAAAAAGCACAGATAGAGGCAGATTGCCAAACTGCTGTAAATTTGCTGGCTAGCGTTCATTTACGGCATCGATCATGTTGGTGTATGGACCGATCCCTCCCTTAGGTACGGAGCAAATTCGGGATTTTTGAGGAATTTCTTGAATTTCTCAAAATTATAGAAAAGTGTAACTGGATCATCCCTTAATCTTATTAGTCACTAGCTGGCTTACCCGGCTCCGCCGTATCCGGACCAAACTTGGCACACATACACTTCGAGCCCCGGCGGGTGTCGCAGTCCACTTTTCGTTATCGATCGATGTCGATTTTACCGACTTTTATCGATTTTTTCGCAGAGTTCACCTACAGGGCTAGGAGTTGGCACAGGGGGGGGGGGGGGAAGTGAGCATGGGGATTCCGAATACAATATTAGTTTTCAGAATTATCGATTACTTTTATTGATCTTATCGATTTTTTGTAAATTTTGACATGCGAGGCTGGGGATTTGCACAGGGGGGTAATCGAGCATGCTGATTACGAACACAATATTAGTTTTCAAGATCGTCCATTACTTTTATCGATTTTATCGATTTTTTGAAAATTTGAGCTAAGGGGCTGGAATTTGGCACAGGGGTGTAATCGAGCCTGCTGATCACCCCCCTTGGGGATGATCAGCATGCTCGATTACCCCCCTGTGCCAACTCCCAGCCCCCTAGCTCAAACTTTGCAAAAAAATCGATAAAATCGATAAAAGTAATCGATAATCCCGAAAACCAATATTGCATTCGGAATCCCCATGCTCGATTACCCCCCTGTGCCAACTCCCAGCCCCCTAGCTCAAACTTTGCAAAAAAATCGATAAAATCGATAAAAGTAATCGATAATCCCGAAAACCAATATTGTATTCGGAATCCCCATGCTCGATTACCCCCCTGTGCGAACTCCCAGCCCCGTAGGTGAACTCAGCAAAAAAATCGATAAAAATCGATAAAATCGATATCGATCGATAACGAAAAGTAGCCTATGACACCCGCCGGGGCCCGAAGTGTATGTGTGCCAAGTTTGGTCCGGATCGGTTCAGAAATGGAATTTTCTATTCGGAACATACGTACACACAGACAGACATACAGACATACATACATACAAACAGACATTCAGCTTTATATATAAGATAGTAGTAACGAATTCGTGCATTTTTCGTCTCAACAAAAAATGTTGTGTCATTGCGGCGCTAACACACTTCCGCGTGAAAAGCAGCCATAGTGCGCGGAGCTTACCCTTTGATTCAACTGGCTTGGCGGCTGGAAGGCGGAGACCTAATCAAGGCTAGATAATGATCAATGATCACGCGCGCGAGAGAGACGCAGACTGCGTAGCAGGCGCGAGCGGCCTAAATCAAATCACAAAGCCCCGCCCTCCAGCCGCCAAGCCAGTTGATCAAAGGTTACAGTCTATTCCGTGCAAGTGCTGTCGGCAGCCGTGGTGGCGCATCAGTTGTCGAACCTATCAGCCTGATGTCAACATCGTAAAACGTCATGGTGCGCATTTTAACAAATTCACGACAATACGACCCACCGGTGGTCGTAAGATACGATGGAATTTTACGGGGTTCAGGCATTTGCTTCGGGACACCTAGGCCGATCCAGTAAGAGTGGTCCGGTATCGGGACACTTATTGTAATGTTAGGTAGATATGCCGTAGATAGAGATAACGCCAAACTTTTGCTCAAATTATTCGCAGAATGATGGTGTTTCTGGGAATTCAAGTGTAAATAGACTAGAAATTCGGGGCGGGCAAGTCTCAAGATTCGGAGCTAATTTTATGCCATTAAGTGATTATCGACTCTATGAATTTTATTGATTTTTTGCATTGTTCATCCCAGGAAGCTCAAATCTTACATATACAGGGTTTGTAGCAAACTGATTACGAAAATGATGGTCTCAAGTTCTAACACCGCCTTCTAACACCAGCTTCTTGATTCTTACGAAATTCTACCGTACTGCTATCGTAACCCCACTTTAGGATAGTAGTGAACAAAGTAGATACTCTGATCGTGATCAGCACGTAAAATAACTTTACAGGACACTTTTTCATGAAATCTATGATGTTGGGTTCGTGCAGAATGGCTACCGTAACCTTATTGTAAAACTCTAAAAACTGAAAAAGATCATATTTTGATAATCAGATAACCCCTTTGGGGAAACTCTCGGAGAGATGTTTTGCATTTTCTTCCAAAAAAACTACCGCGGACAATACGACCCACAAGTGGGTCGTGAGCTTGACAAAGCAAAAAAGGCTCTGGTCCGAAACGGCAGTAATCGAAAAATCGGCCTTGTATTATTTGACTAAAAATTTTTTCGAAGTCTAACAAATTTTTATTCGGTTTAACCACGAAATTTCTAGGAAACGTTGCTGTTTACCGACGACCGCGATTACTGGCCATCGCCGGTTGCCGTACGACATCTTCGCGAACGTAGCGATAATAGCGTACGAATGCGGCCAAGCCGATTTTCCATCGATAACTCATGTTTCGACTTAGGTGACAATTCTACTGAGGCATCGTTAGCTGGCACACCTATCGAAAAGGTTTGACATTGAGGAATTTTACAGCATCTGTTGCAACCGAGAACAGGCCGAAACATTCGAGGGCTGCCCGCTTTGCTGGGGGTTCAAACCACATTAGGAGTTGTTCTGTGGACTGAATGTGTTTGTAGACTTATAAACAAAGTTTGTGAGGGAAGCTTTGGGCGGAGTTTGCCACTTATTCTGGCAGAGTATTTTATATTAGTGCTGAACAGTTTGGACCCTTAATTTTTTTTTGAGAACTAAAGCGCTTGTATACGTGATCTTACAGGACTTTGCTTGAGCGGTGATGTCCAAAGTGGGCGGAAGGGGGGGGTGGAGTTGATGTGTGAAGGACTGGGGGGCGGTGCTGTCAAAGAGGGCGTGGTGACAAGAATTCCTCACCGACATCTTGATGCGCGCAAAGAGCGTTGTTAAAAGTTTTACTAGATCCGCGGAACCGTCTGAATATCCCACAATCCGATTCAGTTACCCATCTGCGGGAAAAAATTGAGCTTACGTGATTCCCAACAGATTCAAGAGTAAGAGGAGACGCAGACGTGGTCCTGCCACGATATGCTCCCGAGGTAGCGAAGCCTGTACTACCTCAGATCTGGGTTGTTCTCTGTTGCAACAGACGTTATCCGAAGAAACCATAATGATTTAATGAAACATGCTCTTACTAAATTTTGACTTCTTACAGCGATATTCGGAATTTGAGTATACATCGAACACAACGACATTTTCAAAGATATTTTAGGTCTTTCCGAAAGATGTTTTCGCATCTCCGAACATTGGTGAACTTATACGAAAACGCTTCAACCATCGCTCTATGTCGGCTGATGATTCAACGCCAAAAAGCAGCAACACCAGCCTAGGGGTGGAAGATGAGTGCTCATCCCCAGATGTGACTTCACCGTTGGAAAATGACATCTTCAAGACTGGTGGCGTCACATTCGCATTGGATACAACCGAATCGGATGGAACATCGATGAGTCCGGTGTCAAGCAGTGAATTGGTACTTTTTCGAGCATTCCTTGATTTATACTCTGGATTTTTAGTGAGATATTTGTCATGGCGCTTTTAGCATTTATTTAGGAATCTCCGATTGATCAGCCCACTGTAGTGAGCTCTCCACATCCTCCGCTTTCTCTGAAGTAAGCAAATCTTTGAGAATTCAACTAGAAATAGAGCTACTCTTTATTCGAGAACTTTATCTACAATATAAACTTTCTAACAACTTGCATTATCAGTTCCGACAGGCACTCTGCTGGATTACCAGAATCGCTTGTACCTACTCGAGTACAAGAACTTCGGCCATCTGTTAAGTTACAACCAAATCAGTCTATGGATGAAATGGAGGTACGAACACTACTTTACCTTTTACAGCTAAATGCTTGAAGAGCTTTTTAATAACAAAAGGAAAATCGCAGCATAATAGAATCCAAAGCATGTCGGCTATCCTCAATATAATATCCTTTCCCTGTACAATGATCCTTAAATCTCTCACATCGCATTGTGTAGCCACTTCTGCTTCTTCAGAGAAACCATTGTTAAACTGCAATTAGCTTAGTGCTATATTATATAGCTGAACTTGAGCAAATAAAAAGATCAGCGTCTATAATGAGATAAAAACTAAGATTATTGGCTGTACGCTCGTGCTAGGATGTCGTTTTTGAATAGCAATCATCAATTTGTCCATTTCTACCATTCTCATCAATTAGTTCTGTGGAATAGTGATACATATTTCTTTTCCTAAGAAATAGCAGCTTTTGTTATTGGATCGAAAGACTGCAAGTCATTCAGCAACATTATCATCACTTCAGAGCAGAGCTCACGAATTTCACCTCCTCGACATTTTTAAGCTCCATGAAATTTTTGGTGTTCTCCCTTTCTTGGGTTTCTCCATTTCTTTCTTTATATAAAGCCAGTGCTCGGAATCCCGGAGCTAAGTACATATTTGTAGGAGTAAGTAAAAAAATCAACAAAATATCTGTTTATGTAACTGCCTATGTGGATGGATTGTACCCTCTATATGCCAAATAACAGAAATTTCTGAAAAGAATGGAAATCTTTATATCCGAATATCATACGAATGTCCGTATATATAAAGTTATCTACTGCTAGAGTGATACCGCAATATTTCTTGGCAAAAACTGACTAAAGTTTAGCAAGCAGATGTATGCAATCCTAAAGTCAGGTTATACTCGGACTAAAACTATAAACTTCTATCTTTCCATTTTCGGATATCGTTTGACTATAAACTTTACAGGAGTCCACATCAACAACTGAAACGACGCGAGCTGCTCCTGCAACTAGTTTGCACAAAAGGGAGTCATCAATGAAAAAGGTATGATCAATTTTTTGGGGTTGGCACATAAGTTTTGCATCTTTGTCCATAACTTCCTTCTCTTTAAATAAGCGGCATTCAAATTTTTGGCGTTTTGTAGACTCGGAAGTGAGCTAAAAATTTGCGCAAACTGTTTGATTTTTTATGACAAAATGGAAGAAATTCTACGCTAGCAAAATGAAGACGTAAGAAGATGAACTGACTAAATTCAGCAGGAGTTGTAGGCGAGATGTTCTCAGAGGATGGCTACTGAGCACAGTTAAAGTCATATAAAAATCTGGCTGAAGCGAGTCGAATGCGTTAAAGCTGGCCGGAAAATCACTAACCCCAAGAAATCAAAGTGGTCAGAGTTTGGAAAATTTGCACGATTTGGTGATTTGACATGCTGAACACGATTATCATATTTACAAGGGAATGGTCAGAAGTCCAAGTGGCCAATCCTAACAAGCTGCATGCCATTTGAAGCAGTAGTAACGCTAACTTTAAATCTGTTTTCATTATCTGCAGAACGCCTTTTTAGGCGAAGTTATGAGCAGTTTTACTACAAAAAATCGTACATAAAAATTTCGTAATTGAGCACGTTATTGCTCTTTTAGCTCACCTTAAGGTGTGGACCATCAAAAGTAACCTAGCTGCATGTTTTGGTCCAGTATTGAGCCGAACATGGCGCTGTACTGCCAAATTTGCCTCTTACACGTACGATTTCTTAGCAAAATGACAGCTTTTAACGGCTTATAACTTCATCCACAAAAGTGATCAGCAGGGAAGACAGATTCATAATCAAAGTTTTATGGCTCTAATGGTATGCAGCTTGTTCGGACTGGCCACTTCGACTTCTGACCATTCCCTTTTCACTTGTTGTCAGGGTTGAAAATTAGCCCACTAATTTTTCGTAACCCAACTTTTTCGTGAAAGTAAGCCTTCCACGAAAAATGAAAATCATTTTCGTGTATAACCCCCTAGACCATGTTCAATCGGTATATGTAACAACTCCTTTTTCTTTAACATTCAAAAATAGCCTTACCGTGACTCTCAAATGCGGTGATGGAATTCGGCAATAATGGCTACTTTCGGTGCTCACATGATAATCATTGTAATACCAAAGAATGGAAGCGCCACACAAAAGTTATAAGGAAAAGCTGCAAAACTCATGTGCCAACCTAATATTTACACTTTTCTGTGTTCTTGTTACGTGTCACTAGCATACTCAGAACGACTTTACATAGGTATTTTTCAATTTACAAATATACAAAACCGCTTCCTTGAAGAGACTTCGCGCAGAAATTTATCTTTGAATGGGTCGTAATTTGCCATTGAAGCCTTCAGAAATTATGATTCTTTTGTTCTCAGCGCTCTGATATTTATGTCACAAGAAACCTAGATATTTGTCTATCTATCTCCCCTTCTCAGCTTTTACGTAATTTATGATAGTAATGTCTAAGAAAAAATAGATTATCCGCGAGCGGAAGCGGAACAAGAGCAAAAAAGCGCACTAAATTTCTTTGTGCCTGTCAAGTGATTCATACATTCATTGCAAAGTGTTTTTTTTCTTTCAAGACGTCTTTTCCTCGATAAATCTCCGAGGACAGACAGCAATTCTGATGTTGCCGATCAGATAAATCTTCTGCAATTTGCAATGGTTGATGGGCAGCTTTACATGTTTACAGTTTGCAAAGGATATATGAATCTTTTGAAACATTTGCGCGCGTTGATCGGTTCGCCGCGTGCGGCGTCGCAAGTGGACGAGTTACATCGCACTATCAGTGCCATAGTTTGAAGCGACACATATGTGCGTCAACCATGCTATGACGTCTGTACACCATAGATAAACAAAAGTAAACAACCTAGCTTACGCGAAAGTGGGTACCCATCTCTGTCCCGCCTTATTCAAAGCCGGGCCAATCGCAGCTGTGGGTGACCAATCAGAAGCGAGTAGCTTGGCGGGCAGTTCAAAAGAGCCATTGTCCATTTACAAAGATTACGGTAGGCTTTTGATATGATGAGCATACAATCGCAGCTCCTATGGTGAAAAAGGGATTGGGACAGATTTTTACATTGCGGCATGCTCATCGTGACAAAACCGTCGAAATATTGCAGTTTTCTTCAAAGAAATTTTCTTTAAAAATTTGCTTCCTTTGTATTAATTCTGAATTCATCCGAGAATCTCATTTGCCCTGTCGCGAAATGGTTATTGTTTAGAAAAACATAGCAGTGCGATGCCTGAGGTATGCGCTATATTTAGTTCACTTCATCCACTTCACCATTGGTCAAATCAGTGAACTGACCAATAACGAAACAAATGTCCACTTGATTCGCTGCATCACTTTGCCATTGGTCAGCTCACGGATTCGACCAATAGAAGTGGGTGGATGGACTGAAAGTGGCGTGTGCCTGAAGATGAATATACTTTTCTATTTCGAATTTTACCGTCTTAAAGTTTCAAAAAACCAAGGAGAATTCCAGGCAGGACGTCGTTACGGTAATTTGCGAGTAATCGAAGTTCTACGGGTTCGATTACGATGCATACGTGGTGTACATGTGACACGACCTCTGTATGTTGTGGCAAAACTCGACGCTCGTGACATCCATCATTCTGGAGCGCTTCATTTTCACGACAGGTAATTTGCACTGTTACCTCTCTCATTTTCTCATGATAGTAAAAGTTTCGAAGGGGGGTGACCTCGAGACATGTTTAATTAACGTCAAAATACTCTTCGTTTTTCTCCTATTCGTCGTGCTTACCGCCCTTCAAAAGGCGGGGTCTCCTACTTTGTCTTATCACCGACGTTTGCTTTCGTTTATTGATCGTTTATCAGTGTATTTTATTATTAGTCGTTATTTTCACATCCGGAAGGAAACTGCCCGCTCTCAGCTGCTGCTGCTTTCAATTTGCAAGACAATTTAAAGCCCTTTTTGGGTCCTAGGATTTCATCCCTGCTCCTGAATATTTCGATTGCAATAATCAATTTTCCTCTCCTCTGTTCATCTTGCAAACAATTCTTTTCATTTATCTCAAATCCACATGCTTTATATACTATAACTGCTAAATTCTAGCGTTCGTTAAGTTTATATGCATGATACAAGACGAAGAGTAAACATAAGAGCTTTTTCATTCTATCTTGGTTATGAACTCTAAATCAAAGGCTAATGTTTGCTGATAACTTTTGATCATGTTAATTCTAATTTTCCCAAAGACACGATCATAACTCAACCAACTTACATAGAATCTATATGTTAACTATTTATATAAACATACAAAATGCTGATTTACTTCAAAATTATTTTCACTTACTGTCCTATGGGTGTTTTTGAAAAGCCAAGATACCCCAGAGAAGTAAAGCCAAATAACCTTCACATAGTCAACAATCTTTGCGAATCGGACACCACATTTTCTTCCAAACAACAATTTCTTGTTTTTCCCATAATAAGCTAAATTCTAAATATTTTCCCAGCTATTAAGAGTGAATGTCAAGTGAGCATTAGCAACTAATCTTTGTTGTTTTTTGTTGTGTTTAATTCTCAAGGAATTCGGCCTTTAATTGTTCAACAAAGAGCACATCTTTATCAAGATAATTATCGATGATGGCATCTGCTAGAGTATACATAGGGACTATTAAAAGTGAAATCCAGTACGGTGAAGTATATTTGAGAAATATAAACGAATGGTTTATCTTTATGAAAAAGCTCGTATTGCATCTAATACTTACCATTTCTTTAACTTCCTATAAGAAGCGCAGAGTTGAATTGAGCACTGTATTTTCAACTTTTCAATTTGACAAAACTAGAAATTTGTAGTTATTACTATTTAAATTATGACAAGTTACAAATCTAAGTCTAGCAAACGATAGTTTTTAGGAGAGCAATTCTTATATTCCGAAACCAATGTCCCTTTGCATACTTCATCCGAATCAATAATATAAATGTATTTTCTGCAAGCAAGAGAATTTTTCAAATCCATTGCAGAGTGATTTCTATACATTACTGTAATGTTTCACATAATTAGCTCTTTTTAGTCCATCATACTTGGACGAGTTCAGTTTCGAAGGATCTGTGCCGTTCACAAATCTACATCTGGTGATTCTTGAAGGTAAACTAAGTTACTTTTTCAGTCTTTCAACTTGTCGCCAAATTAAATTTTGGTTAATATGTAGATGAGCCCATTGGAATTCTAAGACTAGAATAGTAATTAATACGGAATTTTTTGAAGTACTATAATTGCACTCTAGAAGATGAACGAGATAATGCGTGTGCACTTACTTTGTCTGTTTTGGCTGTAACTTTATCAGTAGTTGGCGCAAATTTAGTAAACCTAAATATTTTGTGTTGTTATATTTTTGGTATACTTTCTTCGCCTTCCTCTGGAAAACTCTAGAAAATTCTTTGAAGTCTCATATTTGGCATAATATACAGGGTAAGAATGGAGGGGTATCCTTTGGCTTCATTTTTGGCTTTACAAATATGAATCACAGGTAATATAGGGGCAATTTTTTCGCAGCTGTGCCTCATCTTTTCATTTTATAGAATTCTGAGAGCATCTGTAGTTATACGGAGGCATTCTAGAGTTCAAGCTCTTCATGCAAGTTGGAAACTCGCCAAAAATATTCGTAGAATCTTCAAAAAATTCAAAGTTGGATTCTTCAAGTGTGAAATGCTTGTAGGAAAAATTCTCAACGCTCCGCTTTATTTGGAGATGAGGGAAGATATTTTGGGAGTTCTGGAGGTTTTTTCCCTCAAAGGCAGCATCCACTCAGAAATCTTTGTGTTCTACGTTTTTGTCATGGTGGGGCCACTCTGTTGCTCTTGAGTATGGACATGAAGTGCACAATGTAAAAACCCCAAGAAACCCGGTTTCTGGAGGCTCTATACTAAGGACACAGACAACTTTTAGTACAAAGGGAGGGGGGGGGGGGGCGGAGCTTGAGAGGGCGGGCGTGATTTGGCAGCATTTTCGCGAGTTTCAGGCCCATCTTTTCCATTCAAGGCACAGAACAGGACCGGAACATCGCTGTTGCCATGTTCTTCTTGGGCCTTCTTGTAGACTAGATGCTAATGTGGGGAGCACAGATTTTGCCTGGACGCTGCCTTCAAGTGTAATAAAACCAATGCTACAATTAACTGGCATGTACCCTTCAATTTAGTTGGACTGTGAGCAGGAAGGCGGGGCTTCGTACGTAGTTAAGTAGGGAATAATTATAGGGCACGTTTGCGAGAGAGACGCAGACTGCGTCGCGGGTGCGAGCGGTCGCCTTCCAGTCGCAATCTCTTTGCAAACGGTACTTAAGATATAGCAGTATTTCGCATAACTGAAAATTGCAGTGATTTGTTCAGTTGAAATTTAAGGGAAAGATGAATTTTATAAGAACCTGATAAAGAATTTTAGGTTCCCGAGCTCCTGGAAAAGCGCCACGACCGATCGGACGAGTCACCTTGCATCGAGCAGAAGTAGTGAATCATTCCGGTCGTGAACTGTCCTTGCCCCTTCGAGTGGTGAGCAAAAGTCGTGAAGTGACTGGACAAATCTGTATTGACATTCGCAGACAGGGATCAACATTCGGAATCAGGTGAGCAAATTCTTTTTATCAATGCTTTTTGGTGGTTTCTAAACAAACTGAGCTCGAGCTTAATGGCGCGTGTCGTCTATGATCTGTTTTCATGGAACTTTTCGTGTCCTTGCCATCTTCCAGGAAAGACATCTGTATTTGAGTTAGACTTATGTGTTCATCTTTTGGAGCTTTTCAGCGAAAAGTACAAGTGAATTTTTGGTAATTTTTTGCTTTTTCCATGGACTCCATTTCAACAAGTTTCAAAATTTCTCATGTGTGTGATCGAATAATTTTCCAGCATTTTCTCTATCAAAGTAATATATGTAGTCATTCCGGCAAGTGCTGCAAATTCGCTACTTCATCACCTTGTTAGGATGGCAAATAAAAGCTTTATGGGAAAATTTTTGTACGTAGCAAGTATGAAACACTATGTTTGTCCTGGTCATTGACGTCCTCAACTTTCTAATGATTCACTTCAAATCATGCTTTCCTAACAAAATATCGTCTAGTTGCTTCTAAAATTAGCTCGGTCAAGTGGATTGGGAGTTTTTGGCATTACATGAATTGATGGGTCTTGCACCAAAAAAATACGACATCTTTTGAAAAGAAAAACCAAAAATCATTTTACTTTATTTATTATGAGCCTTAGCAAATGTCATACTTACATATTAGAAATTTCTTAGTTTCAAAGTGAAAATAAACTGGAAAATTCTAGATTTCCATTCATAGAAACGTTTGATCAACACGAGTTTTTGTTAGTAAAATGAGGAAGCATAAATAGCAAAACTAGAATTTGATTCTGGTAGAAGTGTTAGCAAGTTTAGCGATCAATATTCAACAAACCGTTTTTGTGTTTTTCTCTGATTCAGCATGTATCATAAAATTCATTGCTATATGGCAACAAGGAATCTTCTTACTCAAAACACTTGAAAAGAGCAAAAATTTCTTTAACTAATGTATATAAATGTATATATAGAAACAAACAATTTCACGGAAGTTGGAAATAATTACTGATTTTCAAAAATTTTGATGCAAGACTTGTGATACCATGAAATTCACTTTCTGTAACATTTCATTTTAAAAAAAAAAGAAACGGTCTAAACTACTTAAATACATAAAACTGCTGTCATTATTTGTATCTTCTAATCTTGGTGTTCCCGGCCCCTGCCCCCTCTCCAGCCCCTCCCTCTCTCCCCCCCCCCCCTCCCTCCGCCGCTTCCACCTGCTACGTATTTCACAACGAAACAATGAGCTAACATGGACGAAAGCTGTATGGAGACACCTTGACAATCCAAACTGAAACCACTTGTGGATGCAGGCCGTGCGGGGGCGATCCGGAATAGCCCCGTCATCACTCGATTCGAAATGTTTGCCGTTCACTCTTTTTATGAGAAGGGTCGCGATCATTTGCAGTATAGACATAAGCTGGGGTGCTCGGCCATGGTGGCAGCTATTTCACACTTTCGTTCAATGCCTTCTACTTTATGTTTCTGGAAATTTACAAAATTCTGCTTTGAAGAAAATGCGAAAGCTTTGTTTTTTCGAAAATCAGGTCATTTGGCACTTAAAATACCCCTTGAATAATCCTATTCTCGCTTTTTATATGAAGTCGATAACTACGGAATTTTTCTCACACTAACTTGATTTGCTTTGGTGTTTCTTTTTTAAAAACTTTTCGCTTGTCATTTTTCATTTTCCAACGAATAATTTCTTTTTCCCGAAAGGAACAGGCCTGCATTCTCTGGTGAAAAGAGGCGTGCGCACAATCTAGAAGAATACGGTGAAATTTTGGAAAACCAAAGAATTTTCGTGGAGAACAGGCACATAAACAGGGCTCTGCACGAGGTGGCTTTACGAAAATGCAAAAAACGAAGTTCTTCCTAGTTATCGCAAAACTTTACAATATCCGCTTTAGCCCTTACTCGCAGTATTCGAATCGACTAAAAAACGAAAAGTCGGCTAAAGAAAACTTAATTTCGAAAAAAACGAAAAGAAATCGATATCCTCTTCGCTTTTTGTCTAAAACTATATCCAGTTTGCTTATAAGCTACCTTTGCCGAGCACTGCTCGAAGTGCGAGAGGCTAGGGTGAGCTATACTGTTCCGTATAATTTTTACAGCTACGTCGTATTGAGCGAAAACAGTTGGATTGAAAAAATGAAAAGCAAAACTGAGAGGATTCTGTTGTGACTGTAAAAACACCAAAGCTTGAAATGTGAGAAGTGAATCTTTTCCAATTGGATTCGCGTGCGTTATGGTGGTAACAATTACGAATAATCACTACGGAATCTTATTACTCTTGTGAAACGGAATTTTCTAGGAACATTGACCGTTTAATCCGGAACTAAGCAGAGCGTTCTATTTTCTTAACCAAATCCTATAAAAGTGACACCATCTGTTATCAAATTATCCTTTGGGAATCGAAAGAATTCTTTTCCTATTCCAGACGAGTAGTTTTGTCTGAAACCCATTGCATGTTTCGCAATCATCGAAAGCAGCGATGAGGCAATGTGCAAATTTTGCTCTTTTATAGCATGTTATATTTCCAAAAGAAATGGTCGAATCACTGTCAAAATGGGGGATGATTTGAATGTTTAGGAGAAAAATTTATGTGTAGCTAATATGCAAACAATCGTGTGAAATATCATCGCATTCGCTTAAAAAAAGTTTTTTCTCAACTTCCACCCACCAATTCATTTTGAAGATCTAGGCCGTAGATCTTTGTAAAACCTGTGAAATATCTGTTGCCTTCGTACGAGTTCTCTCGCTCGTAACGGTGTTTATGTGCAATCGCAGATCGTTATTTGTAAACAACGTAGAGCACATGTTGATGTTACGCGGTGGTATTGTTATTCGACGCAACTCTTCACACGGAAATTGGCGGAGCAGAAACATTTCTATTTTTACACATTAAATCTCTTCCTTTTTCTCAACATTCCTTACTCATCTATTAGAGTCATAGTTCTGTCATGTTCAGTGTGCTGCTACTGCCTTTTAAGTTACTTTTGCCCAACCTAGTTCTTCTCGCTTTCCTACTTTAATATGCAGCTTTTGGCACTAGGTGTTGTGAATGAGGTAAAGAAATTGTTTGAAACAGATTGGCTTAAAAAAGTAGTAAAACTGTGAGAATCGAGATGTGTAAAGTTTCGACTTCAATAGTTTATTTTTCGGCGTCCAGGACTGTGAAAATTTTGCAAAAAATTACTTATTTTCGATTATACTGAGAAAGCAGAGTAATAATGAAAACCCAGGACGTACTTAGGTTGGATTTTTTGTGTATAGGGAATTTGGAATCGCTGCTATCACATATAAACTGCTCAGGATTTTTTATGGGTAGTAAAGCGTACTAGGTCTTAAAGCTAACCAGCTTTCAAAAAAAGCACACGGAAACTAGTGTATAATGCATAGTCGAGCAACGCGATAAAGCAAGCTACTCCAACAAATAATTTTAAAAAATACAAGCTACAAAATACAAATTACATGAAATACAAGCTTTCTCCACTGTTGGGAAGTGAAATAGTAGTCAAGGGTTTTACGCAGTTATTTATTTGCATTTGGATGATGATTTCAATAAAAAACAAAGTTGTACTTTCTCACTTCCTTGTACCATTTGAATATTCAGAAACGAATTGTACATATCAATTTTCCTTATGCTATCCAAATGCTTGAGTTTCCCGACAAAACATATGTACTTTCTGATTATCTCTAACTTCGTGATGGTTCAAAAATTCATTATAAGAATAGCTCTGACGCTCTCGCAAATCGTCAAATATGGCCGAAATTATTTTTGGAGTATTAGATTGATAAGTCTTACACTAAAAAATATAAAAAAATTCTTGTTGAAAATGTATCTAAAAGCTGTATCTTATCGTGAATATCAGAGATCAGAAAAAATTTGAAAATCATAACTATTGAAACGCACAGTTTCTCTCATATAGAAGAAGCGTGTCACAAACCAAAAGTAAAACCAAAGTGAGAATTTAGTTGACGCTATCGGGATTTTGACGAACAAGAAACGAAAAAAACACTTTTTAATCTTTTCTCTATCTGCTTGTATTTTATTCATTTGGCACAAAACGCTTTGCTTTGAGTACTTTTGGAAAGTAATTAGTTTCTCAAGCTAATATATAGCAAATTACAGAATTTTATAGAAGCTGGGAGAGTTTATGCAGCTCTGAATTTTTGGGTAAAACTTATATATCAACCTAATACGTATCAACTTTGTGATAGGTCTAAGAAACTGCCTTCGACATTTAACAAAAAAAAATTAGAAAAGAAGTAGTTAAATTTTCTTATGTCTTTTTCTTACGACTTTTCATCTCTCATACTAATCACTCCCACGATATAATAGTGTAGGCGATGTTCGCAAATAAATACGCTCAAGGTGTAGCCCGTCTGTCAGCCCCGAAGCTTTGATAAATTACTGTGGCTGACTCAGTTAATACACCTCGAACCTACACATGATTATAACAAGAGCTTTGATCACTACTTCATAGGTAATTCTATGGTATTAAGAGTCCTTTAACGCTTTAAAAGTGCATTTGTACCGAAACTACTTCAAACGGAGAAATGCTAAACCACGCTTGTGTGTGTGTTTGTATGCGTGTGTGTGGGGGAGTATTTGCTCTGGTGTCACCTCAATGCCTCATCTCTCAAACGTATCGTTGTTCCGTCGTTTTCTTTGTTAATCATATGTTTTGTGAGCAATGAATCTTAGATGGGAAAAGGTTTATTTGCCCACGGATGCTAGGTTTTAAGCTCGTGCATCCTGCCATTAGCGCTTTGTGTTTTACGTGCTGCACGAATTTTTGTAAAGAGACGAGTAAGAGATGTAGAGAATGGCTCCGAGTTTTATGATCGTATCGTTTTTCTTTTTCTGATTTCGGCCCCACGACGATCGGCGTAAATTGCGGAGCTCAAACGGTAACGACTGCGATTAGCTGTATAGTGCAGTTTCGAAATGCAAACAGCTGACTAAGGTGAGAATGAGGAGCAAAAGTCTCATTTCACTAAAGTATCTTTCGTCTTATCCCTTCTAAACCCAGACATTCACACCTTGCATTTGTTTCAGAAGATCTTCGATTACGAAAACTCGATTTTTTGGTGAATCATTTTGGTTCAAGATTTATGAGAAAAACGGTGACGGTGTTCAACAGAAGTTACTTTTAGAAATTCTATATGAGTGTAGAATACACTCAAACTGAAACCTTGATAAAAAAGTTCAATAGAATTTATGTTTGTTTTCAGTTTTATTTTTGTGACCTATCTTTTCTAAAGAAATAATTCTTGCCAATTGAGGGCCTCTACCGAAAAACACCTTTACCGATTTTTTTTTGTGTAGCAAAATTTCCAATATAGATAGTAAAATGCCACATCCATTATGCATAAGACAAAGTATATACTGAAGACTAAATGGCCTTTTAAACATTTTTGACGATTTTATGGTGCAAGCAGTTTTTTTTCGCAAGTCGCAAGCAAATTTTCGGCATGTCACCAGCAAGGCTTTGTTTCCGCGCAAATTTTGTCGTCACCGCAATGAAACTACCAGCCCACAAGTCTGCAACCCTGTAAAGTAAATTCTGTATAATAGTGTTCCTGCGTCAATGACATCATGCGTAAAAAATTTACATGTGCGCTCTTTGCCAATTTTTTACGCGCAAATCGCGAGCAAATTTTCCATTTCACTAGCATGACAATCGTTCCCGCGCAAATGTTGTCGTCACCGCATCGACACTATATCCTCCGCGTCCATTCTGTGTAGACGCTTTGCATCCCACGCTTCTGTATCGCTTACAGACACAAACCCACGCAGCACTTGAGAAACGTTCTTGGTTCCTCTGCTCGTTCTTTCGCCCGACCATTCACTCCCTGCTCCCCCCCCCCCCCCGCCGTCCGTGTTGTCGTCATTTGTGTGCTTTTGACGCGGCTAGGGGTGGCTCAACGAGATCGTGCGTACTTTCCATGGACAACCACAAGCCTTCGAATTACTCATCTGCTTGATTGATCCGTCTGGTTTACACACAAGCTGTAGCAGCGGTTGCGTCCACAAAGTGACGAAATCACTCGATCAAAATTTCCTTAAAAGAATTTCTCTGCAACTGATTGTCGTTCCTGATTCAGCCATTCACATAATCTTTTTTTTTTGGTTTTCAGTATCATATGTTTCCGGTACTTTTCCCTCTCATTCGAGTTGTGTCAACAACTTGTTTAATGCATAAGTGAGAAGGCGGAGATGACTCATTTGTACTGCTATCTACCCTACCTACGATGCGTTTACAACTCAGAAAGTTCTGGAAGAAGCTGAAAGCTCTTCTAAGGACAGAACAAAAGCTAACTTACTTCATGTTCTGTATGAACAAAGTATCTTCTTCTTGCTTTTGAAAGAAATGGAGGCTCAGTAACAGCTCAAGTCTGTACGACTTGGTGTACTTACTCTGTATTTACTCTTTTACTTATCTGTTTCCCCACTAATGGAATTTTTATCCTCTACTACTTTTATGTAACACATGAAAGTAGTTTAGTAATAGTTTTGGTTAATTGCGTTTTTTTTCTTTAGTAGTAGTAGTTTTTTTACGTAGTTTTGCCATATTTTGAGTTAACATAGCATACGGAAGTGGTATGATCACTATAGAAATTAAGCCACTTTTTTCAAACTTGACCTTCTGAAATAGAATTTTTCTAGCCTTGTTATTACTTAAGTCTGTACTTAGGACCCGTCAGTTTTCTAGAATTTTTATGTCCTTATTCAAATGTGTATCAGAATTTGGGTAAATTTGCAAATGATTTACAACATTTCCAACACAAGATGATCAACTTATCTCCTTGAACTCTAGCCGCGTTATCTCCTAACATTTCGATGAACCTCTGATTTAATTGTTATTGATAACTTTTCGCTCAAAATATAGTCAATCTGCTCCTTCATAAACCCGGAAGTACTGACCTGACAAATTCTTCTATTCTTTCGTGTTTGACTAACATCCATTACTGCCTAGACTCCGCCTAAATGTTGCAAAATAGATGTTTTTCTATGGAAGAACGAAACCGCTCAACTTTGCATCGAATTACCAATTATTTAATGGACTTTTCTCAGAATGGAACAGTTGAATAATGGAAGTTTGTCATAGACTGAAAATAAACCTCATTATGTCATGCGATTAGAATGTGCACAGCTTCAGTATTTCAAATCTCTAACCCTCTACGGTCGAAATAAGTTGGAAGAATCCTCAGCAAATTTATCCTAAGAAAATGTTACGCTTTCAGGAATAATGAATCATTACCAGGACATGCAGGAATCTTACAGTGCTTGCTCACCTCTTTAACTTTTCATTTTCCTCTCGTCTCTAACTGAATGCTATAGTGAGCATGCGATTTTCTAACATTTGACACCTTCTCGAATTTCATTCATGCACTAGCTCGCAATGTGTTTTGACATTCTTTATTTACCAGTCATTAAGATATACATTTTCACAAAGAAAAATCTCTGTATCTAATCTATCAAACAAGTACCTATTTATTTTTTGTTTACTTTCTATATGTGGTTAGTAGTGACGTACCGAAGAATTTTTGGTAGGGCGGGCAATATAAACTTTTGAACAAAGGGTTTTGAACTTAACCATATATTCCCTAAAAAATCTTGGAAGGTCCGCAACTTCTTAGTGGAACCAATTATTTGAGAATGGAATTTTTATAGAAAGCTGATTTTGGTTTCAAAAATAAGTACAAACAAGTTACTTGCACGATTTTATGACTAATGTAGATAAGTTATAAAAATTTTTGCAACCTATTCTCCATGAGTCCGTTTCTAGGCTTTATGAAAATGAAGTCCCCCTTGACTTTCTCCAAAGTGTACGATGTCCTCTTTGACCCCAAACCATATCTGTAAAAAAAACTCAAAAAACGAAACGTCCACCAAAAAAGTCGCAATTCCTTGGGCCCTTTCGTCCACAAAAACGATATATTCTTTGCTTTTTCGCCCCAAAAACGAAGTCTAGCTCGTTTCCATACCTCGATCCTATATCGCAAAACTTATCCAAATTCTCACGATTGTTGTCTACAGCCTATGATAGCAAAATTATTAGAAAAAGTGTCACTTACGTTGCAAGACGAATTTCTTGGCGAATGCTCTGTCATACCATTTCTAAACTTTCTGAAAGTTCCATTTCTATTTCTGAAAGTACCTGATAAGCTTTAAATTATTTTGTTATTGTAGAATTGGGTTAGAATTTGGCGACTGTCTATTACTGCATGTTTCAAAATTTATGGCAGTCTATTACAACTAATCGGTACAGAGTAATTTTCTACGGACTTGGTCTCTGACACCTGTTCTCAATAGAAAGCCGCTCGAACGCTGTTACAAAGCCTATGATTTATTCTCTCAAACAAACTTTGATTCATTTGTCCATTCAAATCGGTTGCAAAATCGAAGAGATTTACGACTTTTCATTTACATTGAGACAAATTTTCGTCTCAACCTATTGAACTTCCGGTCTTGAGGAAAATTTGCGACGATTTTTGAGAAATTTTCGACCATCTGCCAGTCTCTGATCTATCTAGCTGCAGCTGTTGCATTTTTCTTTTTTTCCTGTATTTTCCCATATAAATGCAAACTAACTACGTTTCTGCATTCTTCATAATCATTACTAATTTCAAATTCTACATTTTGTGACATTTACTGTGACATTGTGTATGCTAGTCAGGAATTCTCTCAGCACTGCTCGACTCATCTCAAAAATCAACATTTCAGAGTTGTCGATCATTCCGGCCTGAACCTAAAAGATCCGAACGAACTCTACTTGTTGGTATCACGTCATCCTTCGAAGGTAAGAAAATTATTATGTTCTATCTCTTATTCCCCATCCAATCATTTAAACTCATTGTCATCATATCTTACACTTTTTAAAATAACAAGAATGTTTTTGGTTGTCTGTGTTGAGTGAAAGGCTTGTTTTCTCCTTGAAATAAATAGGAAATCTGTAGTGAATTTTGGTACTTTCTCAATGAATAAGTTTATACTGAAATTTGAATTCGGAAACTTTTCACAAAATTTTACATAGCAAGATATAAATGCCAAGATCGAGCATATAATCCTATTGGGTATTCGTGCACCTATTTCCTAGCCCTCTGAGTACTAGAAAAACACCAAATGATTTTTTAATTACAATGTAAATTTCAATATGGCTAATTTGAGATGGTACTGTAATTACTGTCATTTGAGGATCAGAAATGATTTGATATAATCACCTGTTGTGAGCTCCAACTAGGCTAAACAACTTTGTGAGTTTCAAATATTGTGAAAGTTTTCTTTTGCACAAAGAGGTATTGTAGAGTTTAACAAAGAGAAGGTAGAAAGCAAACGGCCAGATTGTAGCGGACACCTGTATAAACCTAAAATGCAAAGAGAAAAATGATTCGGAATAGATTTTATGACTCCGTAACGCAGTATTGTTATTTTGAGCGTTCGGGCTTGTAGTAATGAAGAGAGATATTTTTCGATCTGCAGCTTCTAATCCCTTCACGAAATTAAATCTAGGGATTTAATCTGTGTAAGGGTTCTGTTTTTGCTTGATTATTTTCAATTCTGTGAGTTATCAGTAAGCTCTGGCTGATTCGCAAAAGATCTGCTTTTCGAGTTAGAATTCAAATCGAGAAGCTTTTACCTAGCAACTTTGTCGATCAGTAATCAAGAACAAATAGTTATTTATTTATTTATTTATCTATAAGTATGCATGCCGATTTTTTTCTGAGGGGAGGGGGGACCTTTTCTATGCTCTTTATATTGGTCTCCCCTATCTTTTACTAGACATATTTTCTCTAGAATCGAAATTATGAGTAATTTCAGGAGACAAAGAAGCTGCGAATTGCTTCAGCCGGTCACAGTAGTGAATGGCTGGAGATGGGATGTGATGAAGCTGGACCATTAGCGTTACGAATGAGTCTTTGGCAGGAATTGTTGCGCGGCTTAAGCAGCGCATTTCACGGACAAATACGGTAAAAGCTTATTCCAGTTACAGTTGATATGTTAGTAAAGCGTTTTTGGCTATTCTTTTATAGTTAGCTAGTCTCTCCTTTTAAAGTGAGATTGAAAAAATTCATCTTACTGCTAAGAAACGTTCAAGAGTTTCTTTTGCTACCTTCTTTGATATATTAGGAAAATATGTAAGTGTCACGGTTGTCAAAAAAATCTTCATAACTCCCTTTTAGATTTTTGAGCTATTTTCAAAATTTTGCGGGGAGTTGCAGCTTTTTATATGTACATTTCAAACATAAGAAGTCCAATTTTTGCCTTTTTCAAAGTTTTTGCTAATCGTTTTTGCCAGCTTTTTAGCTTGCTTTATCGAAGGGCTCGAAGTTTTAAACTGTTTTCGCGTTTCTGATGATTCTGAGAATCATAAAATACCTGAACAAATGAAAATTAAGGATGAGAGAATCTTTGAAAGAAGAACGGCACCTCTGTTACGACCTAATACTATGATCTCCCTTTAGGGTCGATGTCGATGAAAGATGGACAAACGGACCATCAAAATGGTTTTACCTCCGTCCTCGTCATAGTGATCATCAACAAGAAGGAAAGGTATGCTAGAAAACTAAAACTTTTTATTTCCACTTATAACCGCTTCTTTTTAGACCGCTTCACATAAACAGCATTTGGGCGATGTGAAATTATGGATGTCCTATACGGCTGATCATGTTCTTCCTCTTGAAAACTATAGGTTTGTAAGCGAAATAATGACTTTGTTCTCGATGAAATAATAATATTTTTAGTTACTTAATGACGTCTATTGCTGCATCTCCTAGTGTTGAACCATTTTCTGCGTCTCTAATCTCATTACTTGAACATTTACCTAAGGTTAGTCATCGCATTTTCTTACTACTTTAATCAGCTTTTGTTGCATTTTTGCACTATGTCTATAGTCCTAGCAAAGCTAGCGATGTCGTTTCCGCGTTACAATGGCGGGAGGGGGGGGGGGGGGCGGGGGAGAGGCAGAAAGTTTCCTGACATAAGAAAATTTTGTGGTGCCTAAAGTTTTCTAGCTATTTTCAACAAAGACTTTTGACGAAAAGAATTTGCGGCAGCAGTCAGCTGAGATAAATTCTTCTACAAGACTGAACTGATTTTATGAATCTGTGAATTATCGTGATGAACGACTAGAATCAGTTTACATGCAATTCTGTAAATTAGATTATTTTCAACCTTCTCCCCCTTCCACTTTCCCTCTCCGCCATGTCCTTAGTTCTTCACAGCCTCATACATGCTTTTGAAAATTGTGAAACAGGTTTAGCTGTTAACATGCATTGCTTTAGTCTCATTCTGAATATTAGAAAAGAAATAATCGGTAGAGAACTTTCGACGCTTCTGATAGGTGATGGTTTGAACGCGCAGTTTTCGCGCCAAATTCGTGGTTACAGTATCCAATTCATAGTAGCCATCTCAACCAATAAAAGCCTAGGAGCTTCCTATGTTGGCGACTGTTGTATAGTCAGTTGGTTTGACCATGGGCACAGTTCATTCTTAAATTCTAAAGTCTTCTTGGGGAGCAAAATGATGTTTTAGGGAAATAACGAAAAACTGCATTCTAGGTTTGATCAAAAGTTGTGGATTTGTCATCGCTAATACGAAACCAAGCGTAAATCGAATAGAATAATGATAAACGAGTAGTCTATGTATATACGGTATAGAAAGCAATTTTTGCCCCCAAATTAACAGTTTTGCTATCTTTCTGATTTTTCTTCATGATTGCCTAAATGATCTCCAAAGTTTTAAATCCATCTATGCCTCGTGCAGCTCCAGCTTATTATTTGAAGTCCCTGTTGCAGAGTTTCGAGGAATATTCGATAAGCTGCAGGTAGAGCAACTTTTCTCAGTCTCTCTATGTTCTTCTCCAACTCATCATTTTGGAGTTCTTTTTTGAAAAATGCTTCCAACAGTATCCGTTTCTGTTTTGCGTCAAACGTATGTAACAGCATTGGATGCTAGAAAAAATTTTGGGATCTGGAGAGTCTGAAACTTGCTCATCAATAAACTTTGTTTGTACAAAGTAAATGACTGCTTACCACATTGTTAGGGCAAGCACCTAATTTTTTGAGCATCATGCGCATCTGTAGAGATAGGAATGAGAAACATTTGTTCATCACTTTTTTGAGCAATCATAATAAGATTCGGCCAATATGTCTTGCTGCAATTTGATTTGGTATTTAGAATCTTGTCATTTATCCTTTCCTTTTTAAAGGTAGGTCCAAAATGTTAAAAGGTCTCATCAGTTTTGAATCGCAGTATATCTGCACATTGTTAAACATTATGAGTAGCGAGTGTACGGATTACAGGTCGTTTCGTGTTGATAAAATTTGAGGTGGCTTTCTAACTACGATGATGCTAGGATTTACCTCCTTTTCTAATCTTATATATAAAGCTGAATGTCTGTTTGTCTGTCTGTCTGTATGTCTGTCTGTATGTATGTACGTATGTTCCGAATACAAATTTTTATTTCTGAACCGATCGGGACCAAACTTGGCACACATATACTTCAGGGCAGGGAGCGTGTCATAGGCTACTTTTCGTTATCGATCGATATCGATTTTATTGATTTTTTGCAAAATTCGAGCTAGAGGGCTGGGATTTGGCAGAGGGGGTAATCGAGCATGCTGATCACCCCGAAGGGGTGATCAGCATGCTCGATTACCCCCCTGTGCAAAATCCTAGCCCCCTAGCTCAAATTTTGCAAAAAATCGGTAAAATCGACATCGATCGATAACGAAAAGTGGGCTGTGACACGCTCCCTGCCCCGAAGTGTATGTGTGCAAAGTTCGGTCCCAATCGGTTCAGAGATAAAAATTTCTATTCGGAACATACGTACACGGGTCTAGCTGGCAGGCCCGGCGGAGCCGGGCAAGCCAGCTAGTTATCTATGTTTTTAGGTTGATCTTGGTCATGTTGCTAGACCGATTGTACAGGCTATGGCAAGCACTCAAGAATTACGGCCTCTACTTAATGCTTTGTATGCTGCTGATATAGAGCGATGCCAGTGAGTGAGATCTCATCATTCTAGAAAAAAAAATAATGACAACAAATGAATCAGACGTTTTTACCTGTTCTTGCAATAGAATGAGCTATCAGTATGAGATTTGTTATGGAAGTTTTGCAGTCAGTTGTCTATTCAGCCTTCAGTGCCATTATTTAATAGACCAAATTTTAGACTTCATCATTTGAGTTAATGACTAAGATAATCCAAAAATCTGCCTACTGTTGATTTATTTTTTCAGCTGTTAGAAATGCACGAATTGTCAGTTGGATGAATAAATTACTTGCGAGCTCAACTGTTTATTTATCTATACTATTGTGCATTTTTCAGAGACCTCAACACTCTATTTCGCAGTCATACACTCGCCAGTAAAATGCTCTATGAACTTCTGAAAATCTATGGGCATTCCTATCTGTTGATCTCATTAAAGCTAGTTATTGATAAGGTTTGTCAAAAGATTTCTTTTTTTCCGGGTAGTGGACATTAAGCTTAATACATGCAATTGCGCGAATAGCTGGCACAGTCATGATGTGTAGAAGTGCACGATTTGTACCAGCTGTCCGCGCAGATATATACTATCGGCGTTAAAATGTGCTCTATCACTATCAAGCTTCTGTAATCATTCTTTCTAGATATATAAAGAAAGGCGTTGCTGTGAAATTGATCCTAGTCGTCTACCTCAAGGTGAATCCCTCGATAAAAACATGGTAAGCACGGCTTTTTGGAAAAAAAAAACTTTACAACATTAGGAATGATTTTAGACAATGCTCCTTTCCTATTTTGCTCTCGTTTTTTCTCGTGTTGTCGAATCAGCATCGCGATGTCCCCCTCCGATTAAGACTGTCCTATCAGACTTGAGGAAAGTCGTGCGCGAGAAGACAGGTATGTCAGTTTATAGTAGCATTTTTAATGTTTTCAAAAAGAAAAATACCTATGCTTTACTTTCTTCTATCATCAACCATAAGTATTCTTATGTTTGATACACAGCTATGTTTTTGAAAAAGTAGCGCTTTTCCATTTGATTCAACTGCGTCAGAATTACGAAAGAGGAGTTCTATACCTCTCCAAGGAAAGCTTCCATCCTATGTTAAAATCCTCTGAATATCGGCTTCATTATTAGTCACGTAATTGAGGTTACAGTAGACAGCGTGTTATTGGTAGGCGTCAGTGATTGGCTGCAAGCGGTAGAGCGGGCGCGCCATTGATGGGCTGAAACGCGCCATGGGCAAGCACGTCAATGATTCTTTCATAGAGGGTCGATCAAACGGGGGGCAGGCGTTATGGAGCAAAGCAGCGCCGCATTCCTCTGCGGTATATCCTGAGGACCAGTTGCGTTGCGTCGCCTTTGATTGCACGCAGGAGTACGCCGCTCCTGACAGCGAACTGAGCCATCCCTATTGCTAAGCCTTGAGAGGATGTCCAAACTGCACAATCAATGAAGGTATTTGAAATCGAAAAATAGATGGATTTTACGGATGCAAAGATTGAATCTCGGAATGAGAATAAAAAACTGATTTTAAGTGTAACACGAGAATTAGTAGAGAAGAGGGACAAAAACTTCTCGTTACTGACTTTCCAAGCTTTTACTTTCTCTTGGGTAATACTCAAACACTTCTTCCTCAGAATCTATTTCTTCATCCTCAAAATTCGTTTAACTTCCGCATTTTGATCTCTTCACAGGAGAAGAATTTCGAGAATGACTCAATCCGCTGGATAACGCTAGCTCCTCTGCGGGTGCAATTAGGAGCGACACAACGCAAAGGGCCCTCAGGATATACCGCAGGCGAATGCGGCGTAGCTTTGCTCCATAACGCCACGCCGCCCGATCAAACACAGCGCTGACTGGTTGAAAGAGGATATAAAGCAGTGATTAGCTGAAAGAAGGCGCGGTAGATCAAAAAATTGCTCTCATGCATTACTTGGTTATCTTATTTTCTGCTTGATAGTTACCTAAATACTTTTCTTTTGAGGCCGTGCTGATGTCGAACTCCTCGCCTTGTCCTCGTTTCTTATCATGCGATTCTTCGCTGCAGCTGTTTTGAGTCCGAAATCTTTTGGGATCAAACACGAACAACCTGTGAGTTTGTGAAATGGTCTTAGGTAACACCATCAAGTAGCGGACTTTCTACCAGACTAGCGTCACTCTTCATTTTTCCTCCAACTAATGACTTTAGGAGCCGCGCGTAGCTCGAACGCTGGTTTTGCTATCGAAGATGCTGCAGCGTGTGGCCAACTGCTGTGTTAGTTTACATCCACTGACTACGAAGGTATTTCTCCATACTTCTCACACATTTTCCTTCCCTCCAAATTTTTGCGATGCCTTATAGGAAGCATGGCTGTCATGTGTTCTGGAGAAGGTCGTCGACGATGTGCATCGGCAGGCTATGAGCGATTTTCTTGATCGGGTATCCTTGGAAACAAACGATCCTGGTCCACCGAGCAAGAGTACGGCAATTTTGAAAGAGGGGTGAATATTCTTATCAAAGGAAAAATGAATGAAGGCTGAATAAAGTCTTGTTTGAGGTCCCTGATTGAATGTCGATCGCGTTCTCGACCTTCGTGGCGGCCGGTACTGTTACAGAAGCGACGTGCTGTCATGTTAACTGACTCAGAACTGATTTGGCAGAAGTCACAGGGTGAGCTGTAGTCTTTATAGTTCATCGCAGGACGAATGCGGTTGGCCATGAAAGCGAAGCGGAAGCGAACGCGGCGCGTGCGAGTCTCTCATATGCGCGCGTTGGTGTCAAAGGCGCTCCTCCTTCGTCAGGATAAATTTATAAATAATCTTTTGAAACGAAATGTTTGCAGAGGATATCTCACCCAAGGGCTCCATGTTGCTGTCTGACATCCGCTCCGTTACATCTGACAAGAAGAACTCACTGATCATCAAGAGCGACGGACGGCAAGTGGTCTTCCAAGCTTCTGGTTTGGCTGATGCTGCAGACTGGTAGGCAGCGATTGGTACTAAATTTTGAGTCATGAATAACTAGAAATTTCTTAAGGATATCTGCAATAGAGCGGCAACGAACGCGTTTGAGGAGAAGGACAACAAGGGGTGACCTGAGAGATTTATACGAAGGTGACATCGAACGGGAAATGGAGTCATTGCATGTGGGAGATGACCTAGCTTTCTCTATGCATCTCTTAACTTCTTCTTTTAGGTTCTTCTCACTGAACATCTGCAAACACTCGCACAGTGGCAGGAGCATCTTGAGACTGACAAACCACTTCCTGAACATTGCCCACCGTTGCCAAAATCGCTAGATGGTAGCTTGTATGAGGTGGGTAAACGGTCCTCATTGATGTTTTACACCCAACTATGAGTGCAGTCTCTGCTGCTCTCAAAGGCAGGGTCCAGGCAAATTTGGATATCTGATCTTGCTTGTGGGTTCTGAGCATTCCCGAGCACAGCAGCACATTTGGACAACTTTTAATTGTAGTTTAGCTGTGCACACTCGCCTGGACCGTAGTATCCCAGCGGGCCAATCAGCTTCTTCAACTACGGTGGCGTACGGTCTGGGCCAGAGTTCGGAATTTATTATCTCCTTTCTAAATAAACCACATGAGCTGCCGCTCGGGCAGTGGCTTGGCTAGCGACTTTCAAAAAATTTTCGCATAAGCTCACCCACATTTTTTTCTAATTATAATTTCGGGTAAATCTTTCAGGGTAGTGCTCGAGAAGCTCATCGGACCACCTTGTCGCGGACGATCGCTGCTACGATTGCTGCAACTCACGAACTGGAAAGGCAACATGAAGAGTCGGCTGCTGTGTATATTCAACAGGTAAAATTTATACAGAATTTAGTGGACTGGAGTTCCCAGAATTTTTTTGAGGGGGTCCCGTAAAGTAATTTTTGAATGAAAAGGCATGGGCTAACTACGCCTTCTAGGAAACTTTTGGGGTACCTTTTTTCTCGGTGAGTTTACCAGCCTGGCTTTGAAGGGGGGAGGGGGTAGAAGACAAGTTAAAAACATTTTTAGCCATTCTACAGCGATGTCTACCCTTGGTTTACCCCTGGTGTACTCCTGGTGTAGCGCTAAAACTAGCTCATAAATCATTAGTTTTTTGATTTATTGTTACAAGAAATCAGATTCTTTGGTGAGGCATGATTTCGTATTTTTTATTTGTGAAACGAACTTCACCAGTTGCTAGAGTACACCTCAGTAAAACCTTAGAGCCATTACTAAAATTTTAAAAATTCCCCTCAACAGGTGAAATCGTATCCCGCCGTCAATTTCCTCCTTTTTGCCTGCATATAACGATTTCACAACTATACTTTAGATGAACCAAAAACCAGGAACAAAAGAGAATCCAATCGGCGACGATAATTATCTGTTACTAAAGCGAAATCTCTACGCGGCTTCATAATTTACTCTTTATATTTTCTCTAACCCTTTCGTCAGCTCAACAAAGAACTCATTTTTGGCGGCCATGTGAGATGTTGCAATTAACAGCTCAGGATGCCTTTTTTACATATTCATCTCTTCTGAATACTTCTTTTTATCCTCATTTCTAGCTCAGGCATATGTATGTGAAACCTGTATGATTCTTGTCTACTTTTTCGCTACCTACAAAGTGTCTCAAAACATTTGTACACATTCTATCCGCCTTTTGTACCGTAATTTTACAGTAATCTAGTGATAATATGAGAATGTATGCTGATAAATAGAAATGGAGGATGTGTACATTGTTTTAGACATTTGCATATGCCAGTTTCTGCTCCTGCATCACTTGTCATGGAACAATGCCAGTAATAATTTTGATAACAAAAATTAGTTGAAGTTAACAGATCATTTTTCGGCACTCTCATTGACCGATCAGCTTAACATTTAGTACTTTCCTAAAAATAGAAATGAGTATTATTATAGGCTAGCATAGGCACAAAATATCAATGTTGTTCCCTCTTTACGATCTCAAGATGTGTTGTTTTGTTTCGGATATTTTTGTCAATATTTTCCTGTTTATCGCTCTGTATCATTGTACTGTAAGCAATATGTGTCTTAGTATTTTCATATCAGGAAGTATATGTTTCCGTTGTATATGATACCAACAGCATTTTCACTTTTGCTAAAACCATTGTGATAATAATTGTAACCCAATGATTGATTCAATCTCCAGTCATATGAACACTGTTCAGCTCTTCGCACGAGTATAGAGATTTTGCCGACTATTGTATGTGAGTTATGCAAGTTATAAAGTTGTTACCCACAATTTCTTTCTTCTTATGTTTACACATAATATCGTCTTAGTCGTTATGAATACAGAGATTTGCCATAAAACACGGTTTTTTACTCTTTTTTGCAGTTCAAAATGCCAAAAATGGGATTTCAAATCAGCGTTTTCATTTTGCCAACGCAGCATTTTTTTGATTGTTAGAATCGTATATACGGACTTTCTTGTAAACAAAAAAAGGCAAGACAATCTCAAGGGAGTGAATTTATAGACATACTTTTCAAACAAAAAATTTGACATTATTTTTATCAAAGAAAAACAATTATAGAAACCGTAACTGCTTTTATGTAAGAAAAACCTTTAAAAAATAACAAAGTATTCTCTATTGCTAGCAATAACAGCCTTCAATTCTCAAGCCTGTGAACCAAATTTTTCACGAAGTGATGGTAGTTAAAATTGAAAAACACGTTTAGCCATCATGACCGATGCAGAACTTTTGCGCAAAGTAATTAATGTAACACATGTAACTTTCAAAGAAAAATCGGAATGACAGCTTCAAATGTAGCTTAGCCAAACTCGCTTAGATCTCAAAAACTTCCGCTTTTAGGGGCATTGGTTTGCATTTTCAGATTAAAAATTTGCTTCATGCGTTATTGATTGCACACAGAAAAGCCTATTTCTTTCTGCAATTATTGCGGGTTCGTAACATTTAGATTTGGATGGTTTTTCACTTAGATTAGAATTCAGTTTATGAATCAGAGAGACGCACAATTCCTAGCTGCTGTTTATGTATAATAAGTCCTTGCTTTGATTCCTCGAATCATCCGTACATTGCAGTGGTTCAGGTCTTTCGTGATTTTTTGACACCCACCTTAATGTGAAGCTTGCACAGATTATGCTTTTGAGTGAACAATCACATACCTTTTCACTGACTCACTTAACTTTACGATCGTCGTATTCTTCGATGCTTTTGTCATTCTGGGGCCTTTCTGTGCCGCTGATTACAGTTATGTCATTGAAATCCTTAAAAAGCCCCAAAAAACTCCGATTTCCGGGGACCCTCTCTTCAGGGGCGGACGAGTTTCGAACTGCTTGTCCCCGTCGGCATGCCAGCAGCTGCAACAGCATGATAGCCTGCAGTTGCAACTGCACCTGTTGCATATGCTGCCGTGGTTCGTCGCCCGAAGGAGGCGCACCGCAAAAAGCAACTGCACTGTTGCAACTGCAGTTGTGATGCAACAGCATTGCAACAGCAACTGCAACGGCAACTGAAGCTTACGCTCGTGAATTCGTCCGGAGGAGGCGGAGTGAAAGAAAAGGGGCGGAATGAAAGATTGAAGGGGGGGGGGTGGTTTCTCCGCTCAGAAGCAACATTGGGAGACCGGACCAACGCAGTTGGTCTTCTTCTGGGCCCAGTATATACACATTATAGAAAGATCTAGGAAATTCGGTAACTTAGATTTTGGGTGTACGCTGCCTTTAAATCCAGTCTCAAGTAGGTCTAGAGATCATACATAGCGCTGTTTGATAATCAATTACATACATAGCCGCTCTTGCTACTAACTTCTTGATAAGCGACCCACTGCCTATGGTTTTTAGTTTATTTTTTACTCTCTTCCCTTGATTCATAACATACTTCAAGTATTTAAGTTTGAATGAAGCAACCGTTACGTTCTTTTACCATAATTACCTTGGCTTGTGCTCTAGCTGGGCTGTCTAGGTGCGTTAGATGTACGAAAAATTATTACGTTCTTGAATTGTGGACAAAACGAAAGAATCTCAGCTGTGAGAACAAACAGCACTTTTTGAGCTACGATGTTCCGAAATATTATAATAAAGTGGTAAATATTAAGTTTCAACTGACCCGAGTCTTTGTAGAGGACACATATTCGCCAAATTCTGTCGTTTGAACTTCATCCATTGGTCTGTTTGGTAAGAGAACATCGCTGTAATTCTTTATTCTTGTAGTTCAAAACCCATTGCGAGCATTGTTGAAGTTCTTGACGGAACTGCTCGTTTGCCCTTTTGTTCTAGAAAATTCATAATCAATATCGCCTGGTAGTTGTGTACTTGGGCTTTGACACTTTTAAGGGCAAATCTCCAGAACGGTTCTGTTGCATTTCTCTCATCTTCATGATAGATCTTAGTTTGAAACTGTATTTTTTACTTCAAAAATTTCAAATACGTGGCAGCAGGGGCTTACGGTGAAGCAAATTGTTTTTTTCGCAGAATATCTAGGCTACATTTGTCTGCGTTGTCACTCAATCTTTTCTACTCCTCTATTCAAAAAAACATTTTGGTAAGAGCTGATCTCCAATTCGCCCTTGCTCCTTCCAGAACATTCCTAATCAATCGCGGATGAATGGATTTTTTATAAGGTACCTTGGACTTTGATACTCTCTAGGAGCGCAGTGCTCAGTGACAATATTGCATTTTTTCTTTTCTAGCCTTGCCGCATCCTTAGCTTTCTAAGATGAAGATAAGATAATTATTTTCTCTTTGAATTTCAATAGAACATGTATTGCTTTTGAAAGCAAAATACTACCAACATTTTTGATCATCAGTCCTCTCTCATGTATAATGCGCAAACGAACTTTTATGTGTCTTTCTATAAAGGATCTCATACGGATTACGATCTTTGGGAACGCAATCTGCTGCCACTTTTGTGACCAAAACTTCTCTTGTGCACTTTCTTAGACCGATACAGTGGTCTCTGTATTGCAATGCGAGATATTCTTGAGGCAAAATGAAATTAGAAACGTCACAAAAGCAGAGAAGAATATTTCTTCTCTTTAAGATTAGACTGAGCCTTTGATCACAATCGTCAGCTTATCATGCCTTTGAATTCTCAAAAGTTTTCATCTTACTTTAACATCTCATCCGTTTCACTTCATTAAATATCTGTATAAAATGTTGCAATATATTTGAACAAGGCACATACTCATTCTTGTCGTCATGAATCAGACACTGTGAAGGGCTTCTAGCAACTTCGGCCAGTATCATCATCGCATTCAAAATATCTTTCTAGAGGACAATGATTATTCCAGCTATAACGTTTTTCGTCTGCTCAACTGTCTACTCTGGCGCCGTGAAGTTTTGCAGGAACGCAAAAGACTCATTCCAGACTCCATTTGGGACTCCTTCCACTTCATGTGCGGAAACCTTTCGAGAACATTGCAGGTATGTGTCCTTATACCCGTTTTGTGACACAGATCACACATTCGAAATAGAAAGAGTACATTAACATACGTCTATTTTTGAGACCACTTACGTCTAGTAGTCCATTTTGCTGTTGTACTTTGAAATGAAGTGGGAATTACGGCGTACTATGAGCCAAGAATCCGCGGAATCACTTGAGTTACTGCGATGATGGAAAACTTTGGCAAAACATCATGCGGAAATGTTCAGTTTTGCTTCTTTTGTGAATTCACTGTACCATATAAGGTCTACACATATATTACAATAGTAAACTAACGATGAGTTCTGCGGACGTTCTACAAATTTTAGTTTGGGAGTTGCGCAAAAGTTTCCGTGACTAACCCTGTAGACTAAGCATAGCAGCAACATTGCTTATTTACAGAATCTATTGTTTCCAGTACAGGCTGCCATGTCAGATCATGAAACTAATTCCTCAATTTCAGCATTTGCAAGTTGAAGGCAAAATGTATACGGGTGCGTTCAATGTGTGCTGTAATTGCGCAAAGAATCAAAACAACGTCACTTCGCCTACATATTGCAGACCTGATATCGGGTACTAGAAAATTATTTTGTATCAGCGGGCTTGTTTTTCAGAGAAATTTTCCAGGTTTGTGCGCATATACAATATCGTGTGTGACGCTTCTGGTAAGAGCTGTGGCTTATGATTGGGCTTACAAAAGCAAGAGCGATCTATCTTGGATTTGGAGTGCATCAAGTCACAGGCAAGGAGCTTTATAAACCAGCTTACAAGCGAACCTTCATGTTGATGTTTTCGAAATCAGTAGCTGATTTCTTAGCTAATTTCCGAGATGAAAAATGGCTTTGGAGTTCAGCCTAGGGTCTGGACCTGACGACTTCTACTTCCATAGGATTTTCTACAGGTACGAAAAATAGACAAATAGACATCTTTCTTGCTGAGCAAGTATTCCCTCTAAGTTCCAATATTGCAGGTTTACGGAGAGTGTTATGCAAGGGTCGCATTCGAATATGTAAGGAAGGATCGTGGATTTCGATTCCGGGTAAGGATTAAGTTTGCTGATCAAATACAGTTTTATGTAAGTATTGTACGACTATCACTAAAATATCATAAAATAGAGAAAAATGCCAATCCAATGGCTGAGTTCCTTCAATTAGCGCTGTTGAGGATTGTTGCTTCTCTATCCAATCTCAAATGAAATCAAATTTGGAAGGAGAAACGTTTTCCTTATGGCGGTGGTGCAGGAGGAACCAAAGGGCTGCCGCTTGTACGTGCAGGAGATAGTTAAGAACGGTAAAGTGCGGAGAATGTTTTAGCAAGTATCAAAGAAAACTTGGCAAGGATATTCGCATGAATCTTTATAACTTTACTTGGAAAAAACTTTCAAAAATTTGAGAAACGGAAGAAACTACTCTTCTTATGAAGTGAGTTTTCGATTTTAAAGACCGGAGTATTTGTTCAAAATTTATCTTTCTTTCTTGAAATAAAGGAATAGTTCGCTTTTTGCATCAATCAACCAAATTGCTCTCAAAATGTCATAGAATGAATTTTGGCAAGCTTGTATAAAGATGCATTCTGTTCGTCTCATAACTTCAAACTTTTTGTTACAGATTTTTTTTGAAATTGCGTATTCGGGATTGTATACAATGCAAAAGTTCATCATGATCCAGTTGAGACAGAATCTTTATCCTCCGGTTATAGCTACTTTCTAGTTTCAAACAAAGTCCCAAAATCCTCAATGAGAATTTGACTTAAAATCCTTTATTACAGATTCTGAAATTTCTCAGAATGCCGAGAGAAAGTCTTTAATTTGTCTCTGATTGATTTTTTTGTGATTACTGAACTAGAATAGC